CCCCCCCTCCCCACACACACAAACAACTGAAAGTACAATGAAACATTCAGAAACTGCTGCTAAGATCCAAATTTACATAGATTTCTCTCTTTTAGCTTGAGGGCATTAGTAAAAAGCCTAAGCAGTTTTAGCTCCCACCTGCGGATGATTGAACTGCCTTTCCTTTCAAACTGAGCTACCATGACTCTTGCTAACTGCATCGAATTCTTTGGATTAAAGAAGACTATCTTTTAGAGTGGATTCCTTCCCTTAACTAAAGAATTTACTTACCTTAAGCCAGTATCATTTCGCTTGAGCTGGGAACTCCTGTTTACCTTATGACAGGTATTCTTTCTTATAGATATCATCAAAAAAATTCCAAAATGTCAGTGGTCTTACTCAATGCAAATCTCTGATCTGATTTTTTTAGTTTAGCTTTGATCAAGTTCATTGAACACAACTTTGACATTTGACTGTTAGAAAACTCACATAACCTAGGCTAAATGAACGCAACTATCCTAAAATCCCATATAGCCAAGGCCGCTATGACTTCAGCTATTAAGACACACGTTCCAAACACAACTGAAGCATGAATAACCTCAGAATCTGCAATGATCAAGAATGATCCCAAGAACTAGTGATAACTGAGAGTTCACGTATGTTTGACCAGACAATTGATCATGGATACATGTGGAACATGACAACATAACTTTCTTTATATGTTCTAGTATCTTCTTGACAAAATCATGAAATGCAAATAGCAGTATATGCATATAAAACATACCTTCTGAAAGATTCTTAATCTTGTAGCCACCCTCTGGACTAGTATACTTAAGGTTATTGCAGTCAGCCATTGGTTCTCTCCGTACTCCTGCTTTCTTGAATAGAGCCTTGATTTCATTCATGGTGATAGTTTTATGGGCTGGATTCTGATTAAATTTCATGTATCTGCTTGTTTTCTGCCGCAATTTTAAAGTTTTCTGTTTCATGACTTCTGATCACTAAATTTGTTGGTTTCACAGAGCATGTGTTGGTCACTGCAAGGAGACTGGATGTGTGGGGGAAAAATGCTTTCAACATTGTAATTTTTCTTCTGGGGAAAATCCAATTGATGGTCCATGGTACCTGCAGGAGCCACTTTATCAAAGATGGAAACAATGGGACTGCCTTAGTGATTGTCGATACCACTGTATGATTGCCAGAGAGGAAGGAAGGCAGAAACTTGGTCTTCAACCTATCAAATATCATAGGAAATGGCCATTCCAACGTGTTTATGGGATTCAGGTTCTTCATAAAATTAGATTAATCTTTTTCCTACATCTAGCATATGATATAATTCATTCATCTTAAGATAGTCCTATCTTAAATCAGGAACCTGTTTCTGTGGCATTCTCTGTCCTTAACCTTGCTATACAATTCCATGGATGGGTATCATTTTTTATTCTAGTGAACTACAATCTACCTTTTAGCCCGAAGAAGAAGCCATATTATGAATACACTGGCTTGTGGCATATCTACGCTATTTTATCAATGAACTCCTGGATATGGAGTGCTGTTTCCCATAGTAGGTGAGTTTCCATTCTTTTTGTTGCTCTCTTATTAGTAATTTCTATCTACTGTAAACTGCATAAGTGTAGTTTAAGCTGTAATCAAGTGAGTTGAAGCTATCTTCTGAAGTTATGCACTTTCCACTTTTTTAGTATAGGCTTCTCGCAGAAAACATTGTTACTGGAAACTGTTTGAGTTTCTTCTATTAATAGACATCTTCATCTTCACAAATGAAGTAGAAATTTTCTCCATTGCTTGTCAATTTCCGAATGAAGTTGTGTGCCATCAGATAATCATATGTGACCATGATGCTGTTGTGAATACCTATGGTTTATGAGGAGTGAGAATGACAATTGTGCCTTTTGCAGTTCTATTTATTAGTGGAATGTAACAAAGTAGCACTGTTTGGTGCATGTAAATCTTGTTGTTTACGAAAGACATTTTTTTTGAATTGCATGACTACCTCATTTAGCTTACACAGGGAGAGAGAGGGGGGGCAGTTTTATTTAATTAAGTTACTCCTCCGGTTCTGATTTATATAGTACTATTTCCTTATTACGCCATTCCAAAAAGAATGACAACTTCCTAAATTTGATGACAAGCTTTTACAATCACACAAATGTTATGGCATATTTAAGATCACAAGTTCAAAACTCTTATAGCCACACAAATGTCATGACATAATTAGGATCACAAGTTTCAAATTCTTTTATTTCTTAAACTTCGTGCTTAGTCAAACCATGACTTAAACAATGTCTCAACATGTCCTTGCAAGTGCTTTCCTGATTCTTTTCTTTGGTGAAGCATGTGGTAATACCTATTGTTAACAGGTTGTGGTAAAAATTGAACCAAGGATCTTTTCTGCTTCGCTACCATGTGAATTTTATGATCCTTCATCTGGGCTTAAGTTATTATAGAGAGGACAATTTTGAGTTAAGGTCTTAACACTTCTTAATTTTAACTGTTTTTTAAGACTGCCTACATTTGTAACTTTTCAGAGAAGTTCCATGTTGGGTAACTGACACTATTTCTCTAATGTAATGATGCTGTTTTTTTCTTGCTTACAGTTTCTCTGTTTGGATTTTCCTTGTTTAATGTTCTCGATTGATTGCAGAGATGTGGAATTGACTGAGAAGCTGGACTATTCATCCGTGGTTGCATTTATTGGGTATTCTCTTCTTGTTGCTATATTGCGAGCCTTTAATGTGAGAGATGAGGCATCAAGGGTAATGATTGCTGCTCCCATTGTTGCGTTTGTGACAACCCATATCTTGTATCTGAACTTTTATCAACTCGACTATGGTATGTCCCATTCCAGCATGACTTTCTTTCTGTTGAACAATGCATGATTTTCATCAAGCGTACCTTATTTCCTTCTAGGCCTAGAAACAATACATCAACTCCTTGGATGATTGTAGCACCATTAGTCCAATTTCCTCTAGGATCTTAATAATTTTCAGCTTCTGCAGTATATGAAAAATGCAAAAACTTGGTAAAGTAACTTCCTATAGTTTCTCTCTATAAAGACATAATCAAATGGATCGATCATTATTAGGGAGGAGGCTGTAGATGTGGGTAGATAATTAAATTTACTTTCAAGTTATTATGCATGTCCATTGGATGGGAGTGAAGATGTAGATTGCAATGAATGGATCTTAGGAAAGGTAAAATGTTGCTTGTTATTTTGAATCCAGTCTGCCTTGATGAGGTTGAGCGCCTTTTCCTAATGGCATTGTGTAAGATATCAAATAGGTGATTTGTGGGGTGTCAACCACTATGAAGGTGAAACAAAGCTAACAAACAATTCTCTAAAAATCTATTAGAACTGACCATATTAGGCTATCTACTTCACCTACCTCCTTTGATCTTAGTTCAATTTGTGATTCCTGAAGATTTGGTCCTAAAGGGTGGAAAATGGGCAGTTTGAGCTGAATTTGGGAGGGACAAAATGGATTGTACCGATAAATGGGTCCCTACTCAACCCTGCCTAAAAGTTTCTATAAGATTCGATGGGTTAAGATGGATTGAATAATGGGTCATAATCCAACCTACCCATCTCTTACCAAGTTCTAATTTTCTTTATTTATTTTTTATAATTTATTTAACTATCAAAATGAAGGAAAACTTCTCTATTACAACTATGTATAACATATCTAACAATTTGTTTTTATTTATTTAAATATTTTAACAAGATTTATCATGGGTCAATTTGGGCTAATGCGTATCCCAAATTAAGCCAACTTTTAGATGGGCTGAATTTGGTGCGGCCAAGATGGGCTGAGTTAATAAATGGGTCAATTTAAATATTTTGTTTCCTGGAGTTTACTTGAGGTTATTTTGTATTTCCTTTGGGATATTAAGTAAAGAGTGACACAAAAATGATAAAGAATGGATATAGAAGAACAAAATGCATCTTAGAGAATCCAGTTTGACTTGATGAGGATGGTGTCACATGATTATCTTGCCCAAGGACCAAAGATATGTGCAAATAGTTTTTATCATATATATTCTGTCACTAGTGAAACAAAATAGAAATAACTCTAAACAAGAAAAAGTAGACCTAATTCAATTTGTTCTTTAGTCATTTAACAGTTATTGAATCTATGAGTTGAATGTTCAATTACTATGTTGTTCGACCATAGAAATTACTGATTATGTTTAAGTGGTAGCTCTATATGTCATGAACTTGTTACATGATACGAGGTGTGGAAGTTGAAGGTTCTAGATTATCTTGCAGGATTAAACATCAAAGTCTGTGTTGCTATGACCATGCTGCAGTTCATTTTATGGGTTGTCTGGGCAGGTTTTACTCGTCATCCATCACGCTGGAAGTTGTGGGTTGTGGTGGCTGGTGGAATCCTTTCCACACTCATTAAGATATATGACTTTCCTCCATATATGGGATATGTAGATGCCGATGCTTTATGGCACGCTATGTCCATTCCTCTCACCTACTTGTGGTGGAGTTTCGTAAGGGATGACAGTCAATTTGGAACAACAACTCTCACCAAGAAAGCAAAGTAGAATGAGAAGCATGTTGTATTCAGGTCTTACGTAGTTTTTGGTTGGTTGTTGTTTTTTTCTTGCATGTACACGTTTCATGGAAATGCTTAGCGGCCATGCGAGTTTCTGTTTTTCCAACTTCAATAGGTCTAGTTCAAATGCATATTGTTTTATTTCCACAGTTTTTCCCTATGGTCTTGTAAAACACATCTGAAAGTTATAATGTACTTATGTGATTTGTAGTTTGTATTCTCCACATTTATTCAGGGAGAAGTTCTTACTGTACCTTGGGCACAACACAGAGTGGTTTTAAGTTCCTTGGAGTGTAAATGGTGGTTTGTGTCAATTTTTGAGTTCCAATAGTGCTTATTGGTGTATATGCATTTTATTATTAAAATAAAATATTAAGTGCATATCTTAGTGGCCAGTGGGTATAAATTTTGGTAAAATATGATTATTAGTTCTTGTAACTTATATGACCATTAGTTCTTATAATTCTCATGGTCATTAGTTTCTTGTAACTCATATGACCATTAGTTTCTTGTAACTTATGTAGCATCTATCACATTTATCTATTCATATTACCATCCATCATTCTACCTATTGAATATATGGAAGACTTCTTCACCTATAAATAGTGGTGTTTCTTCCTTTATGAAGTATCTCAAAAAAGAAGAGAAATGTAATATTATAGTGTATAGTAGTGAAAGAGAGAATTGAGACACAAAAATATTCTAAGTCTTCAATTATATTCACTATACTAAAGAGAGTAATTATATGTTGAAGGAAGATGTTCTTTTGTGGAGCTTTGGACTCTTCAACTAATTCAGAGTTGTTTAAGTTGTACAACGTTGGAATGTTGTATCCTGAAGGGGACAAGTCTAGAGTCATACTGCTGGATCGATGAAGATTATGCCGCAGCGGGTTTAAATCTCCTTAAAGAGAGCGAGATATTCGTGCCTCAATCTTATTATTCATGTTTTGTTCATTTTATTTTCAATTGTAATTTATTGTATTTGTGGTATATTACACCAACAATTTTAAGGAGACTCATATTTTGTTACAGTTTGAAAAAGTGCGGATATCAAGATAGGGATTTCAACATAATTTCGCTCAACATTGCTCTCTTCAAGAGATGGAAGAGAAGAGATGTACAGTTAAATATTTTTCTACTTGCTCAATTCAAGCGGAGAAAAGATATAGAAATTATTTTTTTTACCTAATATTTTTTCATGAATAAAGTGATACTACTTGTCATGAAAAAAAAGATATTTAAATTCTTAAAATAGTGGAGGTTTATGAAATGAGAAAAAAATCATTGTGAAATTGTGATTTCTTGCATCTTTGAGAAATGCTCTAAAAAGGAGTATTATAAGTGCATATATTTTGGAATAAATCACATGTTATTGTTTAGCTATAATGAGTTGACTTTTGGCTCTAACATGAGAGTTATAAATAAATTATGAAAAACATGTTGAGTAGTCATTTTGACATGATATATTTTGGTGAGATAAATTTTATTCTGGGAATGAAAATATCAAATATGTGATGAATTTTTTCTTGTGAAATCACATTATGTTGAAAAAATTGTGAAATACAATTTTGTTGGTTGTGTGAGTCTTGCAACTCCTTTTGGTTCAATTGTATGGAAAATATGTGACAAATAAAAAAAAAAGATTTTTCTAGCCTAATAAAAATAGGGAAAATTACGCGGTTAACCAAACTTATACTATTTAATTAGTAATCATAGTTATAGTTTTCTCTAATTACCACTCACGATTATCATTAACCATTAATTACATGGGTTGACTTCAAGTTTGTATAATTAGTCACGTTTGTATAATTTGCCACATTTGTATAATTCGCAACTAACAATTCTTCGTTTGATTTGTATTTGTATACGATGATTTGTATTTGTATATGACGATGATTTCCTTTGGTTTTTCAGTTTTATCACCATATACATTCAAATTTTTTTGTATAACTTTTGAAAGTTTGTATAAACGTGTAGTTTTCGAATTTTATATAATATAATTTATATAATGTAATTTGTATAACTGTTTAAAGTTCATATGTTTATGTTTTTATCAATTCGTTATTTCGAGTTTTTATCATATTTGTATAATTTCAAACTTTGTATTACTCAATTATACAAAAACACGCGAATTATACAATCGTACCCGCGAATTATACAAATTATTTCCCTCTCTCGCTCTCCTCTCTCCTCCCTCTCCCAATCTCGCTTGCCATATATACTAATGCATATGTATAATATATAATTATCTAACCGATTCCGCTCACATTTTTCCTCCCTCTCCCAATCTCGCTTGTCAGATATACAAATACATATGTATATTAGTTACATATATACAATTATTTTGACAGATATACCTATACAATTCACCTCTCTCCACTCTTTGCACTCTCTCGCTCGCCTCTCTCCTCCCTTTCCCAATCTCGCTCGACACTCTCCTCTCTATAACATGTAGCTACGAATCGTAATTAGCAAGCTATAGTTATGAAGCGTAATTAAGCTATTTTTGAGTGGTTATATGCGAAAGTTCCCATAAAAATATAAGCTATCTGACTAACAACCTGACTTGATATTGTGTTTGCAGAAGAAAGTACTTATCAGGTACAAGCAAACCATATGAGAAAAACTTGGTGCTATTTGTTGAAAATGAGAAAAGCAAATTACATTGTTTGCAAACTCTACTATGGAGCTTGAAGTAAAAAATTTAAGCATCAACTAGTGAAAAAGTGAATTGATTTTACTATATCAAACACTTTATTTTGAGAAATTATTTTTTCTAATTTTGATTAATTATGATAGCACCAATCTAATTAGTAGAGTACAAAATCGTTCTTAAAACGATAAATTTAGACTCATGAGGAGAAAACACAATATTGTGAGATCATATTGATCATTGGTATACCATAAATATTAATTGTGTTAAATCTTGCAGATTCATAGACTAAGGCCTTAACAAGATATCTGAAGCACATCGAGGGGGATGAAATTGAAACTCATAGATTTCAAAGTCATATATGAGGAAACCCAACTTGGGGACTAGAAATCCTATAAACAGGTTCAATGGAAGAACGAAACATATGATGACTTGTTGTGAAATGCAATATTATTTATTTTATTCAATCTATATGATGTAGGTGCATTTTATCCTATAATGATTTGTGGAGATTGAGTCTTTGAACTCTTGATGAGTTTCTGTATCTGGTATGACTGGGGTGTCAAATTATAGGAGCACCCCTGACAAATTTCACCTATATGAGTGTGAGAGTAGGTCGTTTTCTATGAGAATTGACTTGTTCTCAAAAACACTCATGAAAATCGGGATAACACAAGAGCGTAATGTGTTTGCTATTAATGCTTATGTCAACACCTTGATTATTGTGTGTAAGCAGTGATACTTTATTTCTCTTAAGCAGTCATAGATTAAGTCTGAGACCACTACTGACTCTGGAGTAGGTTCAATGTAGAGCACACCTTCATTATGCATAATAGTCTCCCTTTTAACTAAATTGGCGAACTCTCTTATTTTAATATTAAAATGAGTGGCAGAATGTTGGTGTAGATGCATTTTATTATTGAAATAAAATATTAAATGCATATCTTAATGGGTATAAATTGTGGTAAATGATAACTATTAGTTCTTGTAACTCTTATGGTCATTAGTTTCTTGTAACTCACATGACCATTAGTTTCTTATAACTTGTGTAACATCTATCACATTTATCTACCCACATTACCACCCCCATTCTACCTATTGATTATATAGAAGATTTCTTCAGATATAAATAGTGGTGTTTCTTCCTTTGTGAAGTATCTCAAGAAAGATGAGAAGTTTAATATTATAGTGTGTAGTAGTGAAAGAGAGAATTGAGACAAAGAAAATATTTCAAGTATTCAACTATATTCACTATACAAAAGAGAGTAATTATATGTTGAAGGAAGATGTTCTTTTGTGGAGCTTTGGACTCTTCAACTAATCCGGAGTTGTTTGAGTTGTATGACGTTGCTGGGCTGTTGTATCTTGAAGGAGACAAGTCAAGAGACATACTATTGGATCGGTGTAGATTATACAGCAGTGGGCTTAAATCTCCTCAAAGAGAGCGAGAAATCTGTGTCTCAGCCTAAAGATTTATTTATTCTATTTTTGTTCATTTTATTTTCAACTGTAATTTATTATATTTATGGTATATTACACCAACCGTGCTTATAACATATATATTTAATTGGGTGTGTTGCTTATGGGATTGCATATAATGTCTGACTTGACATAGAGTTTAAAAGTGAAAAAAAAAATTAATACTTATGCTTTAAAACAAATCATAAATATTTTTGTGATTATAAAACTTTTCAATTTTTCTTGATTAATAAGTGATAAATATGTCACTTCAAAATGCCATTATCTAATATGGAGTTTAGGAAGAATGCAAGATATAAATGGAGGAGGTTGACCTATGAAACGCGTGGACATGGAGGCTGATATTGATTAATGGGCAACATCTTTTTTGGGTCCCCACTTCTCCTCCTAGATTTTATTGTATAAATTATGTCCATTTATTGGACACTACTAGAAATTAGAAACTCAAACTGTTACTACTTTGGTAGGGTGGGGGAATTATGCTTTCCGTAAAATTAGATATTTTATATATTAATTGATTTTTAAAATTGATATAATAATATTTATTGGCATCCATCATATAAGAAGGTTAAATGATGCACTTGATTGAATGATGAATTATTAACTTAAGGGATTAGGAGTCAATTATTACTTAGAACATCGAATCCAAAACAATTTAGGACTAATTTTGCAATGACGATAAAAAAAAATTCTTATGTTAAAAGAACTAAAAAATTATATATATAAGAATAGTTGTTTTTTTGCCTTATTTGTGCAGTATGGTCTCCCACCGAAGGTCCCTTCCTTGGTTGTGGCTCCATTGGTGATTCCCAAGGGATGAGCAGAGCTATTTAGTACGGTTGTTGAATGTTGATGGAGTACTTCATGAAATAGTCGAGATGTATTTAAATTCATTGGACTTTTAGAAAAAAGATAAAGAAGCAAAAAGGAAAAGGTCCCACTGAACTTAAATATTATTTGTAAAATTTATAATGTATTTTTGTTATGATCTGAAAATGAACGTGATGACACTTGTCTATTCCCATCAAGACAAGTCAGTCTCAACACAACGAAACGAAAGAAATGCAGAATTATAAAGCAAGGACAAGATAAAGTGGAAA